ATATTTGTAGGTGCCTGAATAAGAGTACCATGAATGACACAATCTGTAAAAATAACAATCAACGTTCATTGTTAATTTCTTTTTCTCACAGAAACATTGCTGTTACAAAAAATTTGAGTCTTCGAAAAACAACTAATGCACTAACTAAACTTTCGAGACTTTTGATTCAAGTATATTGATTGATTTTTTTGCAGTATATATGTTGATGATGATGGAAACGAAGGGTTCACACATAACTTTCTGAATCTTTCGATAAAGTCATTTATTTGAAAAATAGAAATGAAACGATCAAAGAAAAACTTAAGAAGGAGGAGAAATAGAGAGCGTGACATATGAACAGCGTTTAAACAATGAAGATGATTCATAAAGATGAATAAAAGAAAAGAGACCGTTCTCAATAACACATAAGTTATAATGTGGCTACTTTTATACATGTTCGTCGTCAACAAGTAAAATGGAAATAAGGCTCATTATATTTAAACAGTTGATACAATAATTTTTTTCTGATAAATGTCAATTAAGACACATTCAGTTTAATATTTCTGATGATAATTCGCCTATTAATATTCACCAATGTTTAAGGCCATTTTCTCTTTCTGTATTAGGTTCAACAACTAATCAAATTCAATTCTGTTGTTTGGCAATTCGTTATTTATATATTTGTCTTAAATATACATCCTTTCTTGAACATTTTAGTGAATATATACCCAACATTGAACGATTATCAATTGCTTTTTTTTAACAACTAATGTATTTTGAACCACAATTCAAGTTATATATTGAAACATTAACAAATCAAATGGAAACTGATTTGAAAAGGAGAGATGAATTCATTATGATTAACTTTTCATCTTTATTGAAATCATTTAAAATTTGATGGTGCAAAATCAATTGTTTTCTTAATATATTTCATTTTCTTCTGTATTCTCTCTAAACAAAAAGTTTCTCCATTGTTGTTTTGAATTGGATTGATTGTAATTGAGCATTGAAAACAAGTAGAAATCTTAGACTATTTTCTTTTTCGAGGGGCTACCGGGACTTATTTTTTCGAGATTTATCTTTTCTGCGGAATTTATTTATTCAATAGGGATCTATTAATTATGATCATATTGTAACACATTAACACCTACACCCGCATCCTCATTCTCACCTTCACTGTTACTCACACTCACACTCTCACCCACAAAAAGTATGTATTGAGAAATTATATGGGATTTATCCCAAAGTGCTTAGGGACTTATTCAAAAGTCCCATTAAATTCCGATAAAATAAGTCTCGGTAGCTGTTGATCTGTAGATGAAACGATTAAGAACTATGCTGTTGATACACATTTTATACGTCAATATTTTAGGTCAAATGTTGCAATAAATATGAAAGTATTTCAATTTTACATAGTTTTTGAATGCAAATTATTGTTGAGAAACATTGAAAAATTAATGAATTGCTTTAAAATTCATCAATTTTGTATTTATAAATGAATTACAGTAGCATAAGCTGTTCTACAAGAATATATATAACTTTAATATGACTTTTTTCTTTTGATTTTGAAACAAATATTATTACTTGGCTACATATTCAAAATATTTCGATTGATTTGCATCCATGTCTTTCTGTATATCTTGAACTACTAAATGAAATGCGTTCTAATGTTTCTCATATTAATGTTTATACAGGTTAAGATTTTACGTTTTGCCGATTTATGCAAAAAAAAAAACTATTATCACAAGCTCTATAGAATTAAAATATAAAATATATTGTAGTTCCTACTCGTAATTATAAAAGGAGACAGATTCAATTTGTGAAAAACAGTTTCTAAGAAAAACATACGAAAATAGGGAAATAGCTATTTTTCTGATGAATGTAAGTCGTTTCTTTTTAAGGCTTGAAATAGCCTACATTTGTCACTGCTCACTGTGATAATTATACGGTTTTGTTGGAAAATCTTTTACAAATCATTAAATGTCTTTCGAAAACCACAAATCACAGTTAAATGACTGAATACATTTGCATCCTTTTTATAAGACGCTAAAAGAGAAGGTTAATTTCAAACACAAAACCATAGTGGATAGTTTTATTGAACTTAAAATGTTCTATTTTTCAATGTCTAGATAAATATTTTTAGCAAAATGAGATGGGTGTGGGTGTGCGTGTGGGCGTGTGGGTGTGGGTGTGGGTGTGTGGGGTGGGTGTGGGTGTGGAGACTGATTGAAGAAATACATAACACTCACGCCGACACCCACACCCACATCCACACCCACACACCCACACCCACACACATCCATACCCACACACCCACCCACACACCCACACACCTCACACCCACACCCACACCCAATCGATAGAGCGTCCCCAAGAACCTTAGGATCGGCCCGAGCATGACTTGTACGTGTCCTTATAATAAGAGAGAAAAGTCCTCGTGAAATTTGATTGGTCCTTTTTATTGACCCATGAAAGCCCAGGATTCCATTTCTACATGCAGGACTGTGATGGGACTCACTCATATACGCATGACTCGATAGAGTGTCCCCAATGTCTCTAGGATTGGCTCGAACATAATTTGTACATGTCCTTATAATAAGAGAGAAAAGTCCCCCTGAAATTTGATTGGACGTTTTGTATTGACCAATGAAAACCCGGAATTCGATTACTGCATGAAGGACTGGACGGGGACCTATGCATGAGTCGATAGAGTTTCCCCAACAGCCATCGGATTGGCTGGACTATGGCCACTGGATCCGACTATAGGACAGCTGAAAAGTTGTTGAAAGTCAGGCAGTTTCATTTTGATTATGCTGTGGTGTCTTTGTCGGCCGTATGTTGCATAGCGGAATCTCGGGGGTGAAATTTTTCGGGCATTTTTGATGTCGATGGTTAACTGTACGGCCGTTTCTGATCATTGTAATGTTCGATCTGGGTAGTGGTTTGTTTGGGACGCTGAGATCTGTAGGGGACATAAACTCGAGTTCGGCATGCGTGTGGTTCACACTTCTGAGTGATGGTATATTGAATGGTGGTTGAAAATTAGCGTTTGTACGGAAGCTTGTATCAGTGGATGTTGTTCGACAGTCGTTGTTCCCGATGCGAGGTGAAAGTGCGTGGAAAATCAAGGCGTGACAGGTTTAAGTGGCATGAACGTTGAACCGATTGGAATTTGATCGGGTCAGAAAGTGAGCGTTTTCACGCCTATATTAATGGAACGTGTTCGGTTCACAATTGCGGTTCCCGATTGTGACCCATTAACCACCTTTCGGAAAGATTGTGGAGAATGAGGCGTTGTTTTTGTATACATTTACATGACCAGAAAAAATTTCGTTTTCGGTGGAGTGAAAATAGCGCGCGTTTAATTTTTTTGCGTTTTCATGATGTAGTTTATTGGTCGTTTGTGGGTAGCAATCGGGAACCTCAAGTGGCATACAAAAACGGTCTTGAAAAGTATAGTGTTTAAACGCGTTTTTGAAAAATCTTGTCTGACCGGGTAGACGCATTCCATTGCTTCGATCAATATACAAACGAAACGCGATTGTGAAACTCGTTTATAGGAAAAAATATATAAAAGATTCGTTTTCTATTCACTAGAAAATATATATCACAGTTTTTTTATAAAATTAATTTAGTTTGAAGTATATAAAGTTCTCAAAAAGTTTAGAGTTCTTTTTCTCAACAAAGACAGAATGTATAGATTTTTTAATCCTAAAACATTGGTACTTTAAAATTGAAAATGATGAAATTTTAGAAATAATATAACCGGATTTTTTTTTCCGAAACAAATAGTTTCCACAATTAGATATTTTTAAAATTATGTAGTTGGATTTATCTAATGCAAACTCTTTTTTTGGATAAATAAGTATATTTTTATACACAGCACCTCATTGACATATGTATCTATGAATAAGTTTATGATAGACGATGCATATATAGATTCTGTTTCGTTCTACAACTAATGTGGTCACATGTGGCTCAATCGTGTATGTACACTTGCTTTCTGATCGCTATTTTACTTGGTCTAACCTCATTTCTATCATTTTAGAAACATTAAAATTTAAACTTTCCGTTGGCCTGTAGTTGGGTAAAGATCATCGCTAGGCAATATTGATGGCGAAGCAGATCAAACCTAAGACGGATTGTAATACATTTTTTAAATTTGACATATCGATTCAAACGCGTTTTGATTCAAAAAATATGTACATGGGTCATTAATAAAGGTTTGAAATTTATTCCACCCTGTCAAAGGCATTTCTTTTATCGACAACCTATGGAAAAAATTACTGAACGAGCATACAATCGCCTCTATAACGAAAATATTAAAAATCTTACCGATTACATGTTTTCAACGCGTGATACACGTGCTATTGAATATTTTGCTGTAATAAAAAATTTACTTCAACAGCTATATACGAAACCAATACCAAAAAAACTTGAAAGACATGCTCGACATATGTACAAGATGATAAAATCAATGCGATGGCAATTATGCAAAGCTAATATTGCTGTCTGACAAACTGATAGAAGCAAATTATTTTTCTTTATTGATCCACATGAATATGAAGAAAAAACTAAAAGTTATATGACAAAAACAAACGCATATCAAGAAATCACCAGTGGCATTTATCTATTAGCAGATGATTTACATTCTGTGTTAACTTTACTTGATGGTCTATTAAAGCGTAAAAAAAATAACGAAAGATCAATATTAACAAATATATACAAATCTAAATACATTAGAATTCGCTCATATTTATTTCAATCTTAAAGTACATAAGGTAAAACCGTTAGTTTGTTATCTAAATATTTTTTCTATCATACGTTTCTTGTAGCCTGAACTATCAGTTTGACCTATTCTTGCTTCAATTAATGCACCAGCTACATAAATATTCAGTTTTCTTGATCAACTTCTTACTCCAATTTATAATCATGTGACACAAGATATTACATTCATCAACAGTATAGATCTCACCTGAACAACATTATCTATAACTTTTCATGTTGCGGATTTATACACAATGATACTACATGATGGCACTATTGCTGCTTTAACGCGACTCTGTAAAAACGATTCAATAAATGGAAAAATTGGAAATCTCAAAATATAAACTATTATTCAATTAGCATGTGTTGTTTTAGATACCAATTCAGTTGCTTATAAAGATAAGTATTATCGACAAATTAAAGCGTATGATGCCTTATTTGAATTTCCGGTAGCTTGTATCATTTTCTGTTGATGGATATAGAGGAGGTATAGGAGATATTGATTAATTGGTACAGATGATCATTCGATAGTATTTGAATTTAAACATCTATTCATAAAATATATTGGTGTCACTTGCCAACCCTTGTTCGAAAAACTCAATTCCTATACCTCCTATATTTTGATAAACAGGAAACTATAGGAATGTCCGGAAATTCAAATAAGGCATCTAATCAATTAAAGGTGGTGCCATGGGTTCACCATTTACGATGATTTTAGCAAATATTTATATGTTAGAATAGGAGCAAAAATTAATTCAACACCAAAATAGACATCATGAAATTTATGGACAGTTAATTTTGCATTTATTAGTTACTTTTTTTTACTCTCATAATCATAAATATTTATAGATATATTGACGATGTATTTATGACAACTAATTTATCCAAAGGAGATATTCTGAAAGAACTTGATGAAACCATTAAAACAGATTCAAATGTTAAAATTAGTACTACTATCTATCAATCATTAGAATATCTTAATGTTACTATTGAAAATAATAATGGACATTTAAAAATATCTATTTATCATTAATCAGCTTCAGAACCCTATATTCTACCTTATGAATCTGATCATCCAAGACACATTCATGCGAATATAATTTATACTGCATTAGTGCAAGCTGCACGTAGCTGTTCCAATATGAGAGATTTTGATATGGAACGATTAAGTACAGAAATGATATTACTAGTTAACGGTTATCCACCAAAATTTATACAACATCATATAAAAAAATTCTTTGTTAAATATGATTCTATGAGTGTATGGACTGAATTAAACAGTGAAGTCAATCAACAACTACATAATATGTTACTTTACAGACCAACAAAAAGAGAAAACAAAACATAAATCTCGAGTCTTTGTCAATTAATTCGAAACACGAAAAACTATGAACGTAAAGATCAAATTTATCTTCATTACACGTTCGAAAATGGACCATTATTAAATTTCAAAAAAGAATATCATCAAATATGGCAAAAGTTCTGTTTATCCAGGATCGCATTTCAAAAATACACGACCAATTCTTGGTACATTATTAAATCGTACTTTACAAAGTCTTTTGATACGCAGATAGCCTCTACGAGATATGTTTACCAGGATGCAACCAACCACAGAAGCAGCTCGTACAACAATAAAAGAACGGTTTAATCATTAACATGTGTTTCTTTCAGGCATCCCAATTGTGAAAAGTGTTTCCTTCTTGTTTGTTCGCTTCTTTCTCAGTTTTGTTCTCAATAGAGGATATTCTGTTATTATCATTAGATCTTGTTACTAGATAAACATTGTTTTTTTCTTCCTGTCTATTTTTCTCTTAAATACGTGCAACATGTCGAATACGACCATTTATTACATTTCGCATTATTTAAGCTCAAATATTTGACCATTGAACATGTGAACCGATACCATCTTCTAGTTCATGTTTCGTTAATTTTCCTTTTTCTTTCTTTCATTTGATATATGTTCACTTTGAAACCAGACGTATTTCATACTATCATATATTCTAGATATATACTAATCAACACAATGTCTACAAACAATAATCGCAAACACGTAATGGCAATATATAAGCAATCACTGTAAGCAAATCATAGTTATGACAAAACTGATGAGTGGCCCTTAAGCAAGACCGAAACGCGTCGTAAGGATACTTGGTAATCTAAAAATTCAATTTTACACACACCCACAATGAACCAGATTATACAAAAGAATACCAATGCCCCATGCAAGCAATTTCCCCCTTATTCGCCAAGCCGTCCAGGAACATTTTAACAGTCAAATATAATTTCCTCTATGTCTCGAAAAAAACTATAAAAGCTAATTGTAGATTATTTCTCGTTTCTACGATCATAATATCACTCAAAAAGAAACTCTTGTCTAATCATATGATGAGAGCATTAAGCAAGAGTGAAACACATCATCATGTGCTTGGCATATCCATGTCATACATCTGACGAAATTCTTTGGCAAATTTAGACGTACTGTCATAGTTTCACACTTGATATTTCTTATCTTGAAGTAAAATATTTTAATTCTCAACGTATCCTCACACACAAAAATAGTTAGAAGAAATATTAGTAGCACTAAGTAGAAGTTAGAAATAATGAATCAATGAAAAAAAAAAAGCTTAAGCCAGCAGTGGTAATATTAACAGGTCTGTAAAAAAATGTTTAAATTGTCAGCACCTTCGTTGGCGGCGACGAAATCCAATTTTCCATCATTGTCTAAATCACCAACGGAAATCGAGAACGGAAGAGATCCATAACCGGTCGAAAAAAACTTGACACTTGCGAAAGAACCATTCCCATAACCAAGCAACAAGCCTATGTTGTTTGTGCCATAATTAGCAACAATAATGTCTAGCAAGGTGTCGTTGTTGAAATCGCCAACAGCAACCGCGTTTGGTTGAGAGTTTAAACCAGTCGAAAAAGTTTTCTGGCTTGAAAAGAAACCATTACCCCATCCAAGAAATATACCAACATTGTCACTGCCAAGATTCGCGACGACAATATCAAGTATGGTATCGTTGTTGAAATCGCCAACGGCTACTGACCATGGAGAGGAATCAGTTGCATATGCCATTTGATTTCCGAAAGAACCATTGTCGTGTCTCAGAAAAATACTGATGTTGTTAGTGCCTGAATTTGCAACTGCAATATCTATTTGACCGTCATTGTTAAAATCTCCAACGGCGAATGACTTAGGGCGAGATCCATTGCCAGTTATGAGTCTCATTTGCTTAAAAAAACCTTCATTAGGATATCCCAGATATATACTGACACTTCGCCCATTAGCATTAGAGACGACGATATCTAGTCGGGTGTCATTATTAAAATCGCCAACAGCTACAGATGAAGGACTAGTGCCCGTTGAATACATCATTTGATTTGCAAAAACACCATTGCCATATCCAAGAAGGATACTCATAGTGTTGTCATTCCAATTAGTGACGACGATATCCAATAGGGTGTCGTTGTTAAAATCA